ATTCGTGAAATACCTTGAGAAAGTTAACCTTCATACGTGGTGCCGTAAAGTTTTCTGCCACCTGTTTCACCTCCTCCAACACTTCGCCTCACTCGCAAGGTAGGGTTTGTGTACATATTACATATTTTGCTTGTGTTTTATTATCATTTATTACATTAACAATGTGTAGATTTAAGAAATGAAGAAACGTTACTTGATTTTTCTCTGGTTTTCCATTTTTCATGTACTTATACTGTTGTTTCTGAGAGCCACTGTTTTGCACGTAAAACTTGCTTCGATATATGAATGCCTTCCTGGACCGGATTAATTTCGTATCTCCAAGTACCATGTATTACAATCTTAGTGGCCGATATCCGATTTTTCAAGCCAATATTTTACGATCTAGGTAGCCAAGTGCAGTTCTTTTTAAAGTAAGGGTGTAATCATCAGAGTATAAGAATTACTCATGATTCTGCCAAGACATTTTTTGTCACTCAGCTTTAGCGAAAGTGGCACCCTCTTTACTAGTTGAAGTTCACTGGCTGAAGGCCAGAGGGGAACTAAGGTGCAGGGAGGGAGAGAATGTACGAAGCCAAGGGAGACATCTGGAGCTGAGGGAGGAGGGGAGGCATGTGATCAAGTGCGTCATCTTCACTGACACTGAAACGATTTATTTTTCTTGGAAAGCTGAAAAATGTATCCATAAATATCTGCCTGGTTGATTAATTGGTCAACCTCTAAACAAAACTAGACATTTTTAACAATTGCAGCTTAGCACCTGGAGTATTTATGATTGGGACTCCTTTAAACTAACAGTCGTCTTGTTTTGAATAGTTACTTGAAAGTAATTGTTCATTACAACTGTGCCATTTTAGAAATTTTTACATTTCAACATTCACTGTTTGTTCAAAAAGTTGCAGTTGCAGCATGTATGGACTGAAGTTTACATATGCCAAGTTTTCACTCAAGCCAGTATTTGTTATATTTAGAGAAGTGTGCATTGTTTTTAAATGAATACGCAATGTTAATAAACGAGTCACCTGGTTTCATTTATTGCAACCAGACCCTGGTTTCTGTTCTTACCATCATTGAGTTGGCGTAGCCATGGCTCTCAAAGGAGAGGTCTGACAGGTACTTTTTCAATACGCCTTCTCCTGCTGCGAGTTTGTAGCGTGGGCCTGGTGCTGTAGTGCCCTCTGGCACCATCCATAACTGTCTATCAACAACTTTAGTTCCGAGACAATGTCGATCATCCTGTCTCTCTCTCCCTCTCTCTCCAAACTTCAGTTTCAACATCCTTCACCACTCCATTTGTCTTACTCTATCTTATTTGTCTTACTCTATCTCGTTTGTCTTACTCCATCTCATTTCTCTTTGTTGCTCTTCTTTTCGAACACCAATTTGTCATAATTGTGATTTTTTTATATATAAATTGAGTGAAAACGTGTGTTAAATTATATATAAAATTTATGATGGTAGAAGCCTGTAGGTTTGTGCTTTCCTTTAACTTTGACATTAGTGAGAATTTATTCAGTCTGACTAGATTTGATGGTGGTCAACTTTTTGCTGCAAACTGGAAAATAAAATGTGGGCATTAATTTATGTGTACATGCATTTTGTAGATGCTGAGATATGGAGCAAATAGAAAGTACGAGGCTGATGGGTGACTTTGTACTAAGTGACTGACAAGTGTGACAAGAGAAACTGGAAAGTAACTTTTTAAAAGTTTTAACTGCATAACTTTTGGCCAGAAATGAACATGACATACACAAAATCTTTCTACTAGTAGCAGTGGTACATTATAATTAGGGTTATTATATAAAGAGGTTAATGGATGTTTTATAACGTGTTTCAGGAGGAGCAATCAGGGTATGCCACAAGTGTTCACAATGAAACCATTCAGCTTTTAATACTGAATTAGTGAAACCAACACTACTTAAATTGTATTTTAAGTAGTAAATCTTAAATTTTGTTTATTGACTTTTTATAAAAGTATTATAAAAAAAAATAGGACAGAAAACCCAAATTAAAGATGTGAGAAGAGCAGTCCAAGTTAATGCATAACATTTCTAATACCACGTTGCTATTGGAGCAGGATTTGAAAATGCACTGAATAGGCATTTGGTTTCCAGAGATTGTCGCATTTATTTGAATAGAAGCCAAAGGGGAAATTCTTGTTGTGTGATCAGGGGATTTCTCTGCACAAGGAGCTGTGAATTAATTTGAAAGCATGCATGAATTGCATGTTTGAGCAAAATCAGACCTTTTTTTAAATATTATCCAAGTATGAGTTTGAGCAGGAGTTTGTATGCTGATTAGAGCATAGAAACTTAAGGCATGTGTTTCTACCTAACATCAATTAGCAAGTCCAGAATATACTTAAAAAAAAATGCAGATTTTACATAAGACATTTGATGGAGTTTTTATGAATAAATCAAGGGTTAGACTAAGTATTTGTTGTCTTTGAATATTAAAGGCTTCTTTTGAAAAGGATGTCAAACAGTGCTAAACAAAATGAGTGGGCTTAATTTACAAGCGGCAAGTGATAATAATGGACTTCCATTATGCAAATTGGTAGATTTATTATGGAAATGGAATGACATTTACTGTTAATTTCAGGGGTTTAATGGTACATCATGACAGTACATAGTGTACATGTACTATACTTTGGGCAGTTTTTTTTTATACCATTTCAAAAGATTTATTTGAGGTCAGTTGTTAACATTGGATTGCATTGTCATAGCAATATTCTGCTATGGAAGGCTTATTGTAGATTTTCACAAATAAAGTTCAGCATTTCCTATGTTGTTGAACTTCATGTTGTTGATTTCTCCTAGTCAAGCCTTTTTCATAGTAGAATGAAAATGTAAAAAAAATAAACACAAATTGATCCATTATGGAAAGGACAGCTGCTTTTATACTGGTGTAAACAGCTAAAGCTGAAGTGAGAAATAAAAAATAAATAAAATGCGTTATAAGATTTCAAAAGCTGCCATGAATGTCATGCAGTCATTGCATTTTCTCCTCAGTGGGTCTTAAGTGAATGCATGTTGTAGTCAAGCTATGTTAAGGTCCCATAGAGCTCTTATTTGATCATAGTGTTGTTGTTTTTTTTTGTATGTGGGGAATATAAACAACAAGAAAGAAGTTTGCGCTCTATAATGCTGTACATGAACCACATTCTAATGAAAATCTCGAAGCTGTTGAAAAAATAATGTGGAGGATATTATTTTCTCTACCCATCGTGGCTCAAATGAAGGACATTTCCAAATGGGGTTTGTGTGTTTTGTGTGTCCTTGCAGAGAGTTTGGACGCTGGAAGGTGAACAGTGTGGCTCTGGAGAGAGAGGAGAATGGAGTGGCTCTACCCCTGGATCCTGAGTTCATCCAAACCATCAGACAGTTGGGCCGCAGACCCAGCCTGACTGCCATTACTGACAACATCATCCGGAAATATGGCACACACTTTCTGCTTTCAGCCACACTAGGAGGTACTTCAATAAAGATGGCAGGCCTTTTCAGCCAAGGTTGAAATATTGAAATATTTCTAGTTCCATCTGTGCTAAAAAGGATTGCATTTGACCAAATATTACTCTATAATCTAATGGTACATTTGCATGACAATGATGGAACAAAACAAGGAAAGCCTGACCTCTAGAATTAGTTTTCAATTGCTGACCGTCATTGAAAATGTCATGATTATAGTGTTTTTATTAATGGGAAAAGTATATATGTGAAACAGTCACGTTGAGTGAGCTTTTCACAGTCAAAGCAATCTAAATAGTAAGGAAATTATTTTAAATATTCATAATGATATTCACTACTATTTGTTTGATTATTTAATGAAAAAAGATTATTATAGTAGATAATAAAGATTTTTTATAGTAAAAAAATAGAGATTCAAAAAATTAAAAAGCAGCTTATGATGAAGAAATGTTACAATTTGAAGTAATGACAAAATCATGTCTATGAACATTTTTTGCATCATAGTTTAACTGTTTGGTCTTTGCTGTGTTCTCGAAGTCAAAATACGAGAACACTTGATTTGAAATCCAACAAGAATTTACTAACTAAGCTAAAAGACACCAAATCGAATCGACTCATGCACATGCACACTCATAATCAGAAAGGAAAAACTGGCAGAGGGAAAAGTTTGATACAACATTAAACATTAGTTTTTACAGCCTGCAACTCTGCTCACAAAACAAATCAAGAAGACCCGAAACCACTTACCTGATCTTCCAATCACTGTCTCCAATGCTCCCTACAAAGTCTACAACTCCCAACATTTCCTGGGGGGTATTCCAGAAAGCAGGTTATGTGACATACCTGGGTATGTTCTGTCTCTTATACACATCAGATGTGTATAAGAGACAGGTGTTGTTCCCCAGTACCTACTTGCATGTGCTGTGCTTGCTCTCCAGACCAAAGAGGTTTCTTCTTGAGTGTTCTTGTTGGTGCGCAATCTCCACTGTCGGCTTGACCCTTGAGTAGTGTACACCCGTTAGCACCCTAGATGGCGTGCTCCCTCGCTCATGACTGGTGGTTCATGCTCACCTTGGAATAATTACCTCATTGTGCTGCTCCCCTCTTGAATTACTTTAAGATCCTCAAAAAAAACAGCACCACTGATCAGAGACTCTTATTCCATGCATGCGGAAATCCATTTACACCTCCGCTGTTTGTATTTGTTGAATTGTGCCAATAAATGACATTAATACTTTGTCAGTTTCGTGTCTACTGTTTACAGTCACTAGTTAAACGCAGTTCTAGTGTTGAATTGGAATTTGCACCAATTCAACTCAGTTGGACCGAGTTTACTTGCAAATTGAAGGGTTTAAGGGTATTAAGTTAATACATTAAGTTGCATTGAGTTAAAAGATAGGTGGTTCTCAAGCTAGGTGTTTGTTGAGTGAACATCTTTGATTGTGCACACCTGATCCACATTCTCCTAATTATCTACACCTGACCCACCCTCAATATCCAGCTCTCCCATTGAAAATAAAAGCCTTACTCCTACAATTCCTGTGGCTCAGTTGGTAGAGCATTGCTCTAACAATGCTAAGGTCATGGCTTCAAATTCCAGGGAAAGCAAGCACTGAAAAAAATAGAAAATGCGTTTTTTAAAAAAGATGCTTTGGATAAAAACATCTGCCAAATGGATAAATGTTAATGTAAATTCCCCTTAATCTCTGTGGATTAGTGGATATTTCCCCAACTGTTCCTATGAATTTGTTGTTTCAATCCATGGTCTTTGTAAATAATCCCTATTTAGTTACCTGTATATTCTAGTCTCTGCTTCTTTCAAGACAACTCACTCATATTATGTACACAATATACTATTAAGCACGAATATTCTTTAAGTCAGATTTCCAAGTCTACATTGTATGTCCTTACATAGTTAATACATATAGTCTAGAACAAACACAAAGAACATGTTTCATGAAGCCAAATTCCCTAGTGTGCCTCACTCTTTCATGTTGCCTCTATCCTCATCGCAGGTGAGGAGGCACTGACTATTTTTGTGGACAAGAGGAGGCTGAGTCGAACAGCAGACCTGACTGACTCAAATGGCACGGCGGTGACTCTAGAGGCTCTGCACCAGCTGGCTGCCTCCTACTTTATAGACAGAGAGAGCACTCTGCGCAAACTGCACCACCTCCAGATCGCCTCCACTGCCATAAAGGTAACCCTGTGGCCTAGATGCACACAGGCCTGGGGACCTGACCCCAAGTTTGAAGGGTTATTTTTGGAAGGGAGTTTGACTTGTGCTTCGTTGTTTTTATTGTTTATGCAGCTGCATCCTGGGGAGATAAAAGAATTGGGCTAAGCTGTTTTCTTTTCACTTGTGTTCTTTTTTTGTTGTTGTAAAAATACAATAAAAGGTATTTTACATGATTTAATGGTTGGCTGATTAACCGGCTAATTTGTTTGCTTTTTTATCTGCATCTCTGGAAACCAAATCACCGCTCATGCATTTTTTCAGAAAACAACAGGATTTATAAACCAATGGTTTTGACATCTCTGTTGGTGCCTATTGATTTTCAAGTCTTATAAATGTACAAAGAAAGCATTAGTTCAATTAGTATTTTTCAAAAAGTTTCGCATTCATTTTTAAATGAACAGATTACAGGTCTGCTTATTAAAAAGGTGTTTAATTCGTTACCAATAAAGTTAATAAAGGAAAAAAAAAATTCTCAAATATATGATCTACGAAAATAACTATTTCATATACCAAATGTATATGTCAATATATATATATATATATATATATATATATATATATATATATATATATATATATATATATATATAAAGGTATATATATAATCTTTTATTGGAATCATAAAATTAAATTAAAATTCTAGATTAGAACTTAATTTAACAAACACATAAACAGAGACAGCTCTACTATTTTGTTACATTTGTTTCTAGTGAAGTCTTGCCCCTAGTTATATGGCATTGGTAAATTACTACAATTTCCTTAACATTTTCGAGAACACTAGTGGTATCTAAATGGTTACTTCATGGCTAGGCTAAATATTTTATTGTTTTAAAAGAGGGACTTTAGCATTGTTTTCAGTACAACCTTCTCAAAATATTTTAAATCAAGGAATAATTTACTTTTAAATACACTTTTAATACTCGTAAAAAGCTTTTTTTTGTATAACTTACATTTAAGGACTTGACCTCAAGGCTTTCCTGAAATGTTTCATGTTCCCCAACTTCACCATTGCACCCTGATTCCCCCCAAAATGAGAGAAATAACAAACAAAATCAAAATAATTTATTTGTCTAGCATCCCTTAATCCATGCTATATCTTTGATAACCTATTGTATTCACCAACAAAACTGAATGCGCAATACTTACATTTGTTTATTTCAGTAGCTCCCATGTTAAATTTCTCTTAACCCATGGTTAATATGGCATGCCGTCACATTTTGATTTGAAAAAGGACAATTGTCCTACTCTTCATGGTTGTTATGCAAGACAAATGGCCTCCTGGTTGCAATTGTCCTAGCTTAAAAGCTTATGCGCTCTGTTTGTGTAAATGAGTGAATGGAAATCCTTTTAGATGCCTTTATTTGTCAAGCATTTCAGGTGATTGATGTTAAATATTCTTAGCATCAGCAGTCTTTAATTCCACACATGGATTTTTCCTCATGTGGATGAGGATGGATGTGAATACAAACGCTCTCTTTGCAAACTGGCAATCCTTTGAAACACACGCAGAGTTCAACAATGAGAAGTCTTATTAAATGCAAGAGATATCGGTTTGGGGAAGGGCTCAGTGAGAAAATAAATAAATAGGAAGGTGCTGCTGGAATAATGCATTAGTGTGACAAATTATCTGTCCCATTTCAATAATTTCTTTGAGAGCTAGACCGATTCGTCAGCCATTTTGAATATAAGTGAAGTGTCAGACTCTAATGAATAAGACTTATGGGGAGGGTTTTCTCCAGTGTCAATACTAAATGAATCTTTAACCTCTACACTCGAACACAATGGTGGACAGGAAATGCAGTGACTGCCAGTTGACATCAATAACTGCATTTATTCTGATATACAGCAAAGATGAGGGGTTAGCCAAGGTTTATAACAATCAAGACATGTTTAGATTTTAAAGAACGGCTGAGGATGTTCGAGTTTTTTTGTAATTATATGATATGACCTGACATGTCGTTTGCAAAGACGGTGATATAGATGTCCAGAATGGACTAAATGTACTATGCATTGTGATGCACTTCCTTTTAGAAATCTTAAGTATCGCATATTTCTGGTCCTACCGCAATCCAGTTTACTGTCCCAAACGAGTCTTAAAATGTGGACAAAAAGAACAGTTTTAACAGCAGCAGCAAAAGAGCACAGAAACCTTCTGCTCTGTACAGAGTGTTTGGAATTCAATGGCCAATGTTGACATGCGTAAACATCTGATTAGCTTATTGAACCTCAAACAGGGGATTGTTTAGTCATTTAACTAGTTCAGTGTATTTTTAACAATATATTGTAATTGACATATGTATATGTTCATATTTAGAGCCATTGTATAGTGTTTAAGTAAATAAAAGCCCTCAAAGAGGTACTTTTCCAGCGCATCCATAATCACAATATATAATCAATAATACTTCACATTTAAAAATAAAAAATCACCTAAAATGTGGTTAATAAAAAAATATTTTTTTTCAAATGCATTTTTCAGTTGTTTATGTAACATTAAAAGTGTGTTTTAAAGCCCTTTTTTTGATCACCTACCGATACAAATGTAAATAGTACATGAATTTTTAAATTCACGATTGGAATCAGGACAGGGATGCTTTGAAAACACAGAATATTTACACTATTACACCACAGTATCGAGAGTTTGCTGTTTCCGACAAGGTCATTTGATTTTCTTTATTGAGATTTATTTTGCAGCTAAATGAGAGTTGCACACCTATAAACTAACCTTGACCGTGTTTTCCCAGTAACGTTTCACATCTATCATTGTGGCTAATTAAAAGGAAGGACATAAATAGTGTTTTGTTGGCTGTTAAATGCTAAGCTATAGGTCATGGCATTGTAATCATGAGAAACAAACTATTTTTACTGCCATAACTATGTCTGTATGAAGCATTCTCCAGTTCACTTGAAGATTTTTGGCATAAACGTTGCACATCTTTCACAATAACTTTTGAAAATTTCAGAAAATGGAGAGTTCTATATGCAGTCAATGCTATAACCGAAGCCTAATGCGCAGTATGTGAAAATAGTTGTTCAAGAAGTCAATGCTTAGATGAACAGCAAGCAGAGGGTTGAGGTTCTAGATAACTTTGTCTAATAGAAGATACTCAAAAACTATCAGATTACGCAAAATAATTATCTGAACAATCTGAAATTTAATGATTGCTCTTATAGAGTAACCAGAGCAATCACATATAATTTAATTCAGAACTGAATTTGATTTAATTTGATGGCCATGATGATTGTACAGCACAGATTGAGTTGATTTTTACTCCTTTGAAATTTACTTGAATATGTAAAAATAAATTCATATTTAACAGAATGAATTTGCATGCAAGGAATTTTCTCTCTGTCACACTGCCTTCGTTTCTGAGTTTATGATCTGTGGAAACGGTTATGAAAGATTATGATTCAGAGAAAGAGTTGGGCTTGTTGCCACTGCTAGTGCTTTGACGTTTGCCCGGGTCATCAGTCAAGCATCCCAAGCACAAGCTGGCAGGCACAAAAAACCCTGCCAGCACCTCCTCACCCCCCATCTGCAGTGAGAACTTCCGAAACCGCCTGTGAGGAGAGAACTCGATAAATAGAAAAGAATCTGCGCCTAATGCACGCAGATGAAGCTCTCTGGTAGAGATCTGGCCTTTGTGCTTAATTCTAAGATTTCACGAGCTGAAGCTGAGAACATTAGGCTGTTGTAGCCTTGCTGAGGATTCCCTGCTGCTTCCAATAAACTCTCATTTTCTGTAGAGAGGGTATAATTCTATTCTAATGCACACTCTGCTCTATGATAAGCTTCCCCCATAGCGCACACTAAAACGAAGAGTTCGCTAACCCACCGGAAAGAGACTTTTTATGCTTTTACAGCTGCTTGAATATCTCAAATATAGTTTCATTATGGATAAAATGCCTGATGCAAATAAGAAAGTGCTGGCTGACTAAAGCGTCATGATTAAATTCAGACCCCATTCTATCTGGAACTTGAGTAAAGCCATTGTGTAATCACTCCCAAAGCTTCTGAAACATTAATGACATTTCTAGCATATCAAAAAAGCTTGGATCCGCATCTTAAAATACATTACTATTCAAATATGTTTCTTTGCAGGCCCACACTGTCTTATTTTCAATAGCCTATTTGGGTTACTTCACAGGTGGGAATTAACGAGCTTTATGTTCTTTTTTTTTCATTTGCTTGGTAAAGATTGCAATGGATTTTATTCTTAAGGATCTTGACTAATGTAGTTTTAAGCTGCTACAAAATATTGATCTCAAAAAGAAAGTGCAATATTATGATTAAAGGTCCTCTCCATTCAAAATGTGAGATATACAAAATAGTGCTTGATGTAATATTGCTCCGATTTGTACAAATCGT